GCAGCAGTCTTAGCCCACAAGTTTTCAGTTAAATCGTCTCTACAAGTATAAAGAAACTAAGTAATTCAAATTTTATAGCGTCAAGGCATAGTCCTCACTTACGGTTGACGTGCAAAAAGCCTGCTAAAGCTCTCTAATAACTGCCCCGTGCGTCCCCAGTAGCAATCCCAGAAACAATTTGGGGACAATTTCGGCACCAGTACCCCTCTCGTTTCCAAATTAGCGAAAGCGTGACAGCACATATAACGCAAGGTTGACTTTTACCAGAATGCGGTGAAACTATTTATACTATCCTTAGTATTTTCTAAGTTATTATTAATATTGATTCTCACTCTGTCACGTCTCTGTATACTAACAGTCACATTCTTTGTCCTTTTGTCAATGAATTCCACAGTTTTGTTAAAATTAAATCACTGTAATCACTGTGTGTCTGCTTTAACTGAGCGTTATACTGACGTTAGTTCAGTGTCAGTTTCTTGTTAAACACTCTTTTTGAAAGCACTAAGCTAGTCGCAGCAAACCTCTTCCTATATTCCCCATTCCAGTAGCCTGCGGGGAGCAGCAAAGATGACGGCTACAACAATACAAACATAAATAAGCTTTCGCCCGCCCAAAGTAAGCCTGCCACTGCAGGCTATTTTGGCTCTTGTTTCACCCGCCGACAAAATCGATATTTTCGCGGCAGGTGAATAAAGAGCCGAAAAAAACGTCTGGTCCCCGCAGGTTACCATTGGTTACTGATTACGAGTCTTCATAGCCTATAACATCACGGCTTAACTGACAGACGACCAACCAATAACATCGCGACGTAATTGACCAATCAGATCAATAACCAGAGTATAATACCATCAACTGACTTGATACAACTCACTTTGACTCTGAAGATGATTTTGGCTCTTGTTTCACCCGTCAACAAAATCGATCTTTTCTCGGCGGGTGAAAAAACAGCCGAAAAAGCGTCTGGTCCCCGCTAACCTGAGATCAGGCGTCTTTTTTTTTTTTTTTTTTTTTTTGCCTCTTTGGCTTGAGAGGGAAAAAAAATAACGCCTGATACATTTATTTAACAAGCAGTCAACCGCCGCCTAATTTATATAATCTAACGTTTGCTTGACCTGTCATGTTTTTAGCCAATAAGCGTTTACCAAACGGGAATCAAATTTTGGCGCGAATAATGTCTCTTTTGAAATCAGTTTTAGGGAAAAAAATTTTTAAGTACGTCCGTGTTCAGATGGCGCTTCGTAAAAAAAAAAAATAGAAATTAATGTGTTGTTTTGTGATGAAATACTGCTAGCTGGAGCTGTCGTACCTTTATGAATAGCTACAAATAATAAAGAATTTACTGGTTAAAGCTCGTTGACCTCGTTCTGTACCGAAAGCGGTGGGAAAAAAATTAGGCTGAAGCACCATATTTCACGAACTGAAAGGTGTTGTGAAAGCGAAGATCGCTCAGAATAATTCGCAGCATGATTTCTGAAAGAGGAAATACAGTCAAACCAGGTCAAGATTCCATTCATGAATTGATTATTTGAAAAGTGAACTCGTTTGTCGCTTCTGTAACTTGTAGCCGGTATCAAATTGCATTCAAATGATCGGTGAAGTTTTGACTGCAACTGTTTTGGTATACGATGAGATGGTAAATATTTCAATGGATGAAACTTCTATTTAGGCATTCTTCAAATTCAAGAAAACTGAGCGGGCAGAAATTTCATAACGAACTCGCGTGTGTATTCACTGCTTATTACGCAAGCAAAAATGCAGACTGAAATCAACAACAACTAACGGATGGCGTCATTTTGGCCAATCGGAACAGCGCAAATCATCCGCATTGTTTCCTATCCAATCAGAAAAAAGTCCAGATTCTGGCATTTTTACATGTGATCCGACAAAGAAATGTATCGTGCCCTCTTCCCGTGAGAGACATAAAGGGATAATAGGGAGAGGGCATGATCTCAAACTAGGTCCCCGTAACAGGAGGGCATTTTGTATGCGCATGCGTCAATATGGGCTGTTGAAGTGCCACAGAGGCATTTTCTATTAATTGTTTACATTCAGTACCAGCATTTGCAGGCTGTATTCTGGACCTGAATGAGGTGTATTGGGTGCTACGTTCCACAAACATGTTCTTTAAAGTATCGAGGTATTTCTACGATGAAAGTGAGTTTATTGTAGCCCCGCTGTCGCCCTTGAGAGGACAGTCTTTCCTTTCGTAAAACAGTACATCGAAGACAAGATGGCGGCTGAATGTTCTTACCACCAAACATTTTGCGCACATTTTTTGAGCAGGAGGAAAAGGTCAGTATGATAGTTTTTCGTTAAACAATTATCCTATAGATACTTAATTCTTCTCAATAGAAATCGAACTTAATCGTTTCAGGAATACAGTGGTTAATTAAGTGTCTATTCTGCCGTGAAACTGTTTTTGACCCTTTCTCTGGCTTGTTTATCTCGAAATCTTGCCTTTCTCCCCAGATTAAGTTAATGATTAATGAAACTAAGAATACTTCCGCGAATGAATGGCGCTTTGATGAAGGCTGTGAAAAATCGCCTTCTGCAGTAATTTTAGCTTTCTTCTCCGGTACGTCTTCGTTGAGAAATAAAATACACGCACTTCAACTGTAAATTTAAATCAGTATAATGATGCCAGTAAGATTGTGTTTTGAAAGTAAGAATATTCTATCATTTAGTTATACAAAGGAAAAAAATTACAACAATCGGTTTGAATTCTGATTTTTTCCATAATATTTTGATGGTGCACTGTTTGTTTACATTTCATTATGCAAATAAATATAACATTTTGGCGTTTTAAAGAAAATCTAGCCTAACTCCCCAACCCCAAAATAGCACAAAATGAAACGTTATCAATACACCTCTTAAATAAATCCTGGCTTCTGTTGCAAAAAAATCGCATTTATTCCTAAATGATACCATTTTGTGGATACTACATTTGTTGATATGCTAATTTGTGAGACATTTCATTCACGAAGGATGTTGGCTGAGACCAGCTTCTCCTCTGTATTGAACCACATTCTTGTTTAATGCATCAGTTTCTGCTTGATAGTTCTTCCATGATGTACAACTTACATAAGGGGTTCATCTGGATACAGTAAAAAGCTCTCAAACAGAAACATTAATAACAGACAAATTCATCCATCCATTTGTGTCATGTTTGTTGTCACATCCCAGCTCATTTGGGTCCTTTAGCAGAAGTATTTATTTTTTGAGGAAACAGCATTATATGCACCCCGTTAACAAACTTCCTGTCTTATGTTTAAACAGGCTTTGAAGGTGAACAACATCGTCAGTTAGATTTATGGAATGATGGCCATTCTCTGTTTTGAATGGATCACTACTGTCATCAAATATAAATTAATAACAAGAGATCGATTGTGGAACACGGGAGCTGTTACTCAAGAGTCGCTTCCGTATAGCAGCTTAGGAAAAAGCTCTGCATCTTTTAGAGTTAAAGAAAAATGAAAGTGCTGTTCGTTTTTTCGGAGTATGTGCATTCGTTTTGTCTGCAACTGAGCTTATGAAATGCTCAAGTGATTACGTACTACATAATCACTTGTAATTGTTACTGTCTCAAACTCAATCCATTCTTCATTTCCTATAGAATATTCTTTATAAATTTTTCCCTCGAAAAGTTTCGAAAAACTGTAAAAACCCCATAGATTTCATGTTTTTGTGGCATATATAAGCGCGTCTCCGCGATCAGTTTAACATGAGACATCGCGCTAAAAAATAAACCTCGCGTGGTAAATTTTTTTTCGCTTTTTTTCTTAAAGCAGCGAAACATTGCCACGATGCATTTCCTCCCTGATAAGTAAAACGACGAGTTTGGAAATCAAACCATAGAAATGTATTTCTTTGCAGTGAAAATCAGACTTATACAGGAACATGACTTTTTGGCGTTGAGTTTTGAAAGTCTTTAAAAGGCCAAGAAAACCTACTGCTAACAAATCTACAAGTGAAAACTCACCTAGAAAACGTCCGATTTTTGCCATGGAGAATATTTTTTGTAGGAAAGTACGGTATTCAAAGCACCAACGAAATGGCTTTTAAAAGGACTGTAACTTTACGCGCGAGTTTTCGATTTCCCGCCATAAGATTTGATGCGTCCACGCTATTGTCGTTCAGCGGATTCACGGATGCGCATGCAAAATGCCCTCCTGTTGGTCCCCGTGGGTTACCCATTCCAGAAACTATAAAGGAAATGGATACAAGCTTTCGGCGCAATGATTTCTGGGATCTCTGATTTGAGGACAAGCGTTACTTATGATTGCTAGAATACCGTCGACCATTCGTAAGTACCGCTTGTCCACAAAAAAGACCCCAGATATCACTTGTACCCTTTCTCCCTAGAGTTTCTAAAGAAGGGAATTGATTCTGCGTGTAAAATGAATTTGTTTGGTCTGAAATTGGGCAAAGTTTTCAGAAAGCATTTTCCAAGAGTCATCACCCTGGGCGCAGCCAACGGTCCTTACGCAAACTATACCATCAAACCTCGTTTGTGAGCGATATTCTTCTGATTGACACTTTCTGTGGATGAGTATTCTGTTCAACCCTTTTATTCACGTAAACCGGCCCAAACTTGCACTAAATTGGTTGGCTCTGTGAAATTTGCTCGTCTGCGTAAACATGCATAAGGGCTATTTGCTATTGACCTTGTGGAATATATACTAAGCGCATGTGTTACAAAAGGTTATGAAGGACTAATAAGAAGAGTTTGTTTCCTTTCAAAAATAACCCAACGAGGGGGATTGTGAAAGAGGAACTGGCAGAATAATTCCATGTGCATCTCGATATGCAATATTATTACACAGGAAAAAATCCTTGAATTGAGGGATTGTAAAATGCTTCTTGTGTAACAAAGATATCCAAGTAATGTATACCCGTGTTTATCTGGGCTGGAATTTACAGGATCAAATTATTCTGGCAACTTTCCACTGACTTTCATCTTCCTGTATCTGACACTCACGATCTTGAAGTTACACTGAAAAATGTCGTCGGTTAACTCTTCGAAGTCTCATCGATTCGTTGATTTTCTCCCTTCAATAAGGCCATCTTTTCTTTCAGTGGTGCTACTTTTTGCTTGCGGATGTCTCTGGGTGAAGAATGAAATAACCAACGGGCGACTTATAGCATTGGAAACGCGCATCAACATGTCTCCAGTGGTTCTTGTTGATACTGGCTGCACTACGGAAAACTGTGAAAGGACGACTCGTAGGCAAAAAGAATATTCCACGAGATATCTCTTAGGTTAGGGGTTAGATCACTAGAGTATAAATAAATTTCCCTTATTTTTTTAAACTAAGCTTATTGTTGGGGGAATTTCATATAAGCCATACAAGCGTGTGCGGAGCCAGGGGGAATGGATTTTTAGCTCCTAGCGTTTGGACTGAAATATGGCAAAATTTTGTGCTTGTTGGAACCAGGGCCTGGAAATCGGTACGCTCTTTTATGATGTGTCTCTTGAGAAACGGGTAGTGTTTCAGTTCTGCGGTATGTCGCACACCCCCAGCCGACATTTTCCTGAAGTTTCTAAGGGAGCTTACCGTATTATGTGGGCAAGTTGAGTGACCCTGTGTTCGAGTCTCAAAATTGTTTGCTTAATCTTGTAAGTTCAAATCATTGTAGCCTGCGTGCAGACGATAACTAAACTATGATTAGTCCCGTCTGCGAAGCAGCGCAGAGATCCTTGTTCTGGACCCCCAACGGACTCAACGAATTACCGGAAGTACGTTTCGAATTCCCCTTCAACCCGATTGGCGATCACGACAAACAAAACAAAGGCCTTTTTTAACTGGCCAATCGTGGCGCGTACTCAAATCTGGGTACACAGCTGGAAGTCCAGAACAAGGATTTCGGCGCTGTTTCGCAGACGGAGTTAACCAGAGTTTAATTTCGTCTGCGCGCAGGCTAAAATCATTGAAGAATACGTGCATATTATAAGGATATTATGAGCAGACAGCAAAGCTCCAACGGCTTTATATATAGTTTTCACAATGACGTCGTCAAATTGTAAAGTCAAAATACCGAGGTTTTACGAATTCTTATTTACACTAGGTTGAAGATAAACAAAAAAAAAATCTTTGCACAAGTTTGCATTCCCGTGGCATATTTCATTTCGAACATACAGCAATTTGAACTTCCGGGTTTTTACAGTGCGTGATGCCAAAATAGGAATGCTGTCTCGTTGAAAAAAAGCCTCTCCTGTTGATTTTCAGGAGTATAACCATTTCAAGTATTAGAAGATATGTTTATGCGCACGTATGCCAGTTCTGGAGTTAAAAGGAAGAGCTTTTTTAGAAAAAGTGAATTCCAGATGTTTTTGTTGATTTCCGGCGGCCATATTGGTGCACCAAAAATGTACACCAGTATGGCGTCTCCATACAAAGCTTTATCGAGCTTTACAAAGGTGCATGAAACGTTTCGGCAAATAACTCAGAAACTGTGGGCCACAAAGACCTGTAACTTGGACAAATCGTTTGTATTCTAGTCTTTTATAACATTTGATTTTCTTGGCTTCTTCCACTGGACGGTTTCCACTTTATTTGTTTGTTGCGTGACAGTGAAAACGATCTTTGTATATTGCTATTGAAGTGGATAATGACGATAATTACATGCGAATAAGTCCTAAACAAATGGTATATAAACGTTCAGCAGACAATTCATTGAAATAATATGAAGTGTCCTCCGATAAATAACTGAAAATCTTGTAATCAGGCCAACGTTCAGTTTAACCAATCTCAAATCAGTTCGGACAGACTGAATGTTTCCGAATTAAAGATCAAACTTTTTTTGTTAAATTTGTTTTTCTTTCGATTCCATTTGATTCTTTGTTAAGATGACTAATGATACATGACAGGAAAGGTTAATTATAATTTTATTTCCGCATAGAGCTATTTATCATAATTGCGGCCTATTACAGCGGTTACCACTAACACGCACCCTCAAAGGGTTTTTTCTTCGGTTCAAACCTGCGTTTTGGTGCACGTCAATCAACCGTTACCGTGGTTTTTTACGCGTTGGCCTAGAGAAGATTCTTTCTCCGTTTCTTGAGCACTCGGAAGAATATGTCGGCGTTTCAGCCGTTTTTGCAATATTTTGCTGCAGGATCTGACACCGCTTCATGTCAAGATTACGAGGAGAAAGAATTTGTTGAGTGTTTCTCGGAGGAACTCAAATTATCGACATATTTACACACTGTAAGTTACAGCCACATAAGCTTTCTCAATCGCTCGCAACTCGTCTGAGTTCTTGCTAGTTCTGGTTTCTATTCGATAACATGCAGAATTATAAGTAGTAAAATTCATTTTCAAAAACAGCCTCCATTCAGAGGAAACTTTTTCCTTTTTCGGTGTGATATCTTTTGTTTCTTTGAATTTATACTAGTTTCTTGGCAATTCAGTCGTCCACAGCTCCCTTGTTTTCATACATCAAATAAATAAACAACCTGAAAACCGTTACGTAAACTATAGAGAATGTTTCGGCTATTTCACTCAGTTGTTTTAACACTGTGTAATGCTTCATCTTAATAAAATAATTTAAAAAAGCCGTCGTCCTTCGAAATTATTCGCCCTTCATTCAGCGATGAAGGAACCTTCTCTGTCAGAGCGCGTGGAAAACCATGGAAACAGTTGAATGACGTCCACGAAAACTCTGGTTTAATCAGACAGAAAAAAAAACCCTGCAAAGGCGCGTGTTAGTGGTAACCGCTGTAATATATATGCTTTTATATGAATGAAAATTAGCCTTTCTGATCTCGTTAGCATGTGCAAAATTCAAAAGAATTCTTACTTATAAACGAGGCTAGAAGGACTAATTATCATACAGACAAAATAATGTAATAATAGGCCGCAATTATGAAAGAAGTCTATACTTTGACCCAAAAATGGGGAAATGAGGAACTAATATCCTCAGCTACAAAAGGAAATCACTTGCTTTTAAATTGATCCTTCGAATTCGTCCTCAAATAATGTGCAGTGAAATTTTGGCTGGATTTTCAAAGGCTTTGAGAAAATGACATGGGGGGTACTGCCTTTTATGGGCTATATAGGTATGTGCTGCTGTGAAGGATATGGTTTTCAAGAAGTTTACTCTAGGATAGGGTATATAAATCAGAGCGTTTGGGTCTAGAATAGGGTATCATTTTTCAGGAAACTAATCAGTTGGTTGAAGATTTTATCTAGACTAGGGATTGTGGTATAAGGTTTTGTTTTGGCTAGACTGTGCTAGTGTAGCCTGCGAACGGCAGACGTTTCTTCTCGCTCATCGCCGCTGAGGGACGTTTCGCGTGAAGGAGCGTCTGCGACTCAGCGACAGAAATTCCATACTGATGACGCACATCAATGTTTACATAATAAAACCGGTAGTCATGGGGTTCCACATGCAAATTTGTTCAATTTTACTTTCCTCCTGGTCGATTTTGGAAAAGTGTTGTGTTCATCTGCGAATGAGCTCCAGTAAACTCAAATGCTTCTTCTAGAGAAGACTATACTCCACAAATATTGACTGTTTTGTTAGAGATTCATCGTGTTTACATTTGACCTTTGTGGCCTTTTGTCTTTTGTCTGTCATTTGTCAATGGTAGCTAGAACAATGAAACTACTCCATCGACCAATTAGCGATTCTGACCGGATTCCGGACAGATTTTGCGTCATCAGTATGGAATTTCTGTCGCTGAGTTGCAGACGTTCCTCCTTGCGTAACGTCCCTCATCAGCGATAAGCGAGGAGAAACGTCTGCCGTTCGCAGGCTAGTGCTAGTGACCTCGGTAGTTTCTGGAAAACAGCTACTCTAGGATAGGGGGGATTTGGGGAGTTTACTCTAGTATAGGGTAGCAAAATTCAGCTGAACTAGCTCTGGTATAGGTTAAGGGTTCCAGGTTCCCAGCGGCACATCCCCACCCAGAAATTCCTAAAGTACCCCCCCGCCCCTCCTGAATGAGATCCAGTCAAGTCATGAATTTGACACTCAAATTTGAGTTCTAATCTGCAAATGACATAAAAAGTATGCTTTCAGGAGGTAGTTGGGCCACAAGCGTTAAAGAAAACAAAACGGTGGAATTTAATGCCGACGAAGACTCTATCGTATCAGCGGAAATTTTCCCAGCACTTAGTTTACTTTTCTCTTAGCTTTATCAGATGAGTCAGAAGATTCAAGAACAAGCGCAAAGTCAAGAAATCGGAGACAGGTTTCGAACGTGACTTCAGCAACCATCAATATGCATGACGTGCGTCAAGAAATCACCAAACAGTTTGAACAACTAATGCCCTCCAAGTACTGTAAGTCACAAGAGAGGGTATGCCCTGTAGGTCCCCCCGGACTTCCTGGTCCCATTGGTGTACGAGGACCGCGTGGCAGGAGGGGACCTACAGGAAAGAAAGGTAACCCAGGTAGCTTTGGACCACCAGGAAAATCAGGAATGACTGGATTTCCAGGATCTAGGGGAGAAAAGGGTGATAAGGGCGAACCAGGAAATCCGGGACCACCTGGGAGGCCTGGAGAATCAATATCTGCTCCACTAGTGATGGTATCACCTGCAAATCACACTAGAGATGAAGGAGGAAATACGGCGATTTATTGTACGGTTGGAGGAAACCCTACTCCTACTGTCGAATGGCGATTCAAGGGCAGAAAGCTTCTGTTGGGAGCAAAGTATTTGGTTAAAAAAGCGGAGCTGATCATCAGGAATCTGAAGTACAGCGATGCTGGGCAGTACAAATGTGCAGCAAGAAACATTCTTGGATCGTCTGAGGCGTCTGGTAATTTGAAGGTTCGAGGTAAGAAGAACAATAAGCTTTACTACTTTGAAAATTTAAAACCCTTTTGCAAGGCCGCTAATGTGCCATCAGAATTTTTTCTTACCAAAGTCAGGGATGGGCCATGTTTCCTAGCTGATTGCTTATCTTATTAAACGTGTTTTGCAATTGGGTCCTGTTACATTGCTATTGAGGGAGCATGAAGTCCAGGAGGGCGACTACCACTATATAAAGGGTGATGGTGTGTGTTAAAAGGGTGCGTAATAATCGTAAGCAATGGCTAGAATTAAACTCTTGTAGGAGATCCATCAGAACGTAGTTCAAGCTTTATTTGTCAAGTCAGATAGTGAAATAAGAGATTTTAGGAATATTTCTTGCTGACTCTCTCCTCTTATCATTTTTCCTCAGGAACCGATTTATCGGCTCCTTGCTTTCTATACCTTTGATTAATACAGTCTATCATTTATTGGTGAACAATAATAAGGGGGGGCAGAGGGGAGGGGAGGGGGAGGACTTATTAACTTTCCTCCCCTGAAAGGGGGGGGGGGGGCTTATTAGAGAGAGGGGGAGTTCATAGAGGATTTATGGTATTTGTTCAAACATCACCCTAAGCTACACCCTGAATGGATAAAAATTCTGACGTTTCGTTCTTAACACACTGGATGATACCAGAATCTTCAATTTACCTACCCAAACGAAACGACGAGTATCCCCGCCCCCTTGATATGGTTCTTTAGTTCAACTTGTCAGACTTGTGCAAGTCCTGAAACTAGTCAGCTGGCATATATCGCACCATTATTCGTACGAGTTGCACCACTTGAATGTCATTTTCACGACTAACACATGTGGTGCCTACTGGACGCGGGAAAACTCACATAGGTATTTCTTTTCAAGTGAAAGCCGCCGATTCTGTGTAGTTTGGAAGACGGGTAAAAATAAATAAATTATAGCTTTTTCAAGCGACATCATATTGATTTTTCGTGTCTTAGGTCGTCCGATCTTTACCAAAAAACCCGCATCACTGGTCTCAAAAATGGAATCCACCGCAATACAAGAAACTTGCCAGGCAGAAGGGTATCCACCTCCCAAGCTGACCTGGATCAGACTTGTTTCCCCTTTACCTGTTGGAAAGACCGACGTAAGGGAAGGAAATCTCACTATCATGAATTTAAGACCAATGGACAGCGGTTTGTACCAATGCGTAGCAACGAACAGCATGGGAACCAAGAAGGCCACGATGAACTTGGTTGTGACAGGTTTGTATAGCGCACGTTATGCCGACCTTATATATCATGATAAAACATTCTACTGAATGATTAGCACTTCACCATGTTTAGACAGGCAAATGAAACTTTAAAGTCTACGCTTGCAAAACAGAAATTAACTGCATGATGTATTCAACAGACTAAGATACCCCTAAATTTGCTGCTGAGTCTCCAGGTGTACAACTGCAGTTGCAGGTGTGTAGGGGCAGTATCCGATGACGTCATTTTTCACCTGCAGGTGCAGGCGTGCGGTATTGTTTGCAATGACGTCATATTTGTCTCACCGTTCATACCTGGAGAAACTAAACTCTAACTCTAAGAGGGAAGCAGGATGGCTTAAATAGATTTCTCAAGTATTTGTGCTAAAACGCTTGGACGTTTCGTTTATAGTCGTAATACTATTTCGAGAGAGGAGATCACTACTGAGTAATAACCCGATTTTCAATTTTTTTCGTTATCCACTCAGAATTGTAAACGACTTAACGCTTACCCTTCACTCTCTTCCCGCGCACCGTTTCTGACGCCTCAAAATGTGTGTTATTAGTGGGCTTTTGATTCGAGGACGAGGACGACATTTAATTTTAAGTTTTCTCGCCCTTTTCTTTAGAAAATAACAGCCCGGGCAGCCTCATAATGTACTTTTTTCACTACCAAAGTTAGTTCGCTTACTTCCGTTGAAGGTAAAGCCCTCTCCCGATCGCGATAAATGATAAAATTTCGATTCTAACATTTGATAACTTGTTTTCGCCGCTAAGACGTTTCCGCTAAAACTGGTAGTAGAATAACGATGGCTATCACATTTTCCCGGCAAAATGACGTTGGTTAGCTCGCTTGAAAAAAATCTCGTTCTCGTCCTTGTCTTAATAGAGACCTTTAGATTCTAGAACGAGTACGACTATGAGTACGAGATTTTCTTAGTACTAAGTAGTGCTCGCGCGTGAACCAGCGTAATTTGGCGGGAAAACGTGGTAGTCTTCGTCACTCTACTACGAGTTTTGGCGCGAATGTCGAAGGGAAGGCACTAGATAACATCGACCTAAACCAGATGAGTCATCGATATGTCAGCGGCGTCTTACAAAAATGAATCCTCGACTTCCGCTCATTTGATCGATCGCTGCGAGAATGTTAATTTGAGTTAAAAAAGGGTCAATTTTTGACAATAACAGTTCATATTACCAAAAACTGTTATCTAAAATAGACTCAGCAGTATTGCGCCTAATTATGTGGCTTACGTGTGACATCATTTGATGGCGGCTAATAATGAGATCGCGGCAATCCATCGAATCCGTGTTTCTTTTTGGTACCTAGACGCTTGTGTTTTCTACCCAATTCGTTGTTCAGGTTTAAAATGCTACACTTGTTTTTTCTCTTAAAGAAGGAAAGGGATGTAGGATGTTTCGTGTAACTGTTTACACGAACTAATACATATGTATACTTTGGGGAGTCTTACATGATCTTGGGGGCGGGTAAGCTGGAAGGTCGGCCATGTTGCATTAAAAGTAATTCTGTTGTGGTTCAATCCGTGTCCATCGTGCTATAAATGCCCCACCTTGCACGTGCAAATTCATTGTGTGCTTTAACCCTGACTTCTGCTATTTGCTTATCTGGTACAAAAGTTAAAAATAGTTTTGGAACGAAGCTAGCACTTAACGAAGGCTGAGAAGTCATCAAATTCTTTCGAATAGAACGAGCATTTTGCATCTAGGAGTCTGGCTTATTGTAATATGAAGACCACCGGTGAGTTTTGTCAGTTATATAATCGGCGACTGATTCAGCTTTTTGACAATTTTTCATCATGCCGCATCGCTAACAAAAGACAAAACTTGACAAAGAAATTTTAATCAAAACCTCACATGTTAGATAGGATGAGTGCTCTTTAGGTCTTATATTAGGGGTTAATGCTGTTCAATAATGTTTGCTTGAATGTGTAGACATTGACGAATGCAGTGCTTCTTCTCCTGTGTGTGACATTAATGCCAACTGCTTCAATACTCTTGGATCTTATTACTGCACCTGTAAGGCAGGATACACTGGCGACGGAAAAACTTGCCAAGGTAAAACCAGATACTTTAGCTAATTTCAACAGGACCAGTTGAATATTTTCATTAAGACAGTGCTTTTTTTTCATGCTGTTCTTCTTAGACACTGACGAATGCAGTGTTTCCTCTTCTGTATGTGACATCAACGCCAACGAGAGATGTAAACTAATCAGAGGCACAAAAAAAACTTGAAAAAAGGAATCTTAAGCAAAAACTCATGTTAGATAGGAATGAGTACTCTTTGTGTCACATCATTCGGGATTAATGCCTTTCATTAATGTTTTTTTGTCCAGACATTGATGAATGCAGTGCTTCTTCTCCGGTATGTGATAATATATAGATTTAGCCAGGGCTAAAAGCGAAGCTCCCGTTCATAAATTCATAATTTAAATCAAACAATAAACTTGTAATCCGCAGATCAGGGCACATTCATTTGACGTTTGAGGCAAAGGCTAAGTGATTTTAGAGAAAAATAATTTGACAGTCCAAGAGTGAAACAGCTTTTACATCGAGTTATTAAATAATCTTATTTGTACACCCAAAAATAGCAATCATGTTCGATCACAGTAGATTAGGCCTGGAAAACAAATAGACCTACCTATTCGTGTATTGTATTTGCATTAGCTGTTGAATCATAATGTGGCATTCACCACTCTCTCCAACATTGCTCCGTTTGAGAGACTATGGATAATTGGACAACCCCGAAATATAATTTTAAGAAACACAGGCGCCACGATAGTCCTTGGTGGCAGCCAATTTACACGTTGCATTCCTCTGTCTAAAAGAGAGGCCAAAATAAAAAATCAGGCCGGATTTTTTGTGTTCGACAAGTTTAGTTTACTAGTAAATCTTGGCGACGAATCTGGTGGAGTGTGGTAAACAGTACTATGAGGCCCTTGTTTTTATCATACAGACCTCGGACAGAATTTGTTCTTTTTTGCCCTATTTAAACCTATAATTCTGCAGTTTTTCACAATTTTGCAAGAGAATTTGCACTCATTCAATATCCACGACGATCAAAGCACGCGCTTCCTTTGCACAACAAATTATAGCATTGAATTATAAAACGTTTTCATGAAGAGAATTCTATAATGCCAGGACTTTCAGTTAGAAAAATCTGGTCCTATGTGATATGCAGGGTAAAATGGGCTTTTAATGAAAACGATAAAAAAATTCCCAAAATCACTTTTCGGCCAGCCGGACGGGGCTCACTTTTGACAGGCACTAAATTTTCAGTGCGATTAATAGAGTTACCATTTACGCTTCAACATGATAGATAAATTGTATGTTTAGGTTTTATTTCCCTTTATTTATTAAACTGCGGACGGTTTTGTTATGTGTAATCTTTAAAAGCGAGTGATATTTACGCGCGGCGTTTTGAGTATTCCTGCATGAGATGTTTATGTTCGACTGGATACAACCGGTGCAGCGATAAAAATTGCGAGAGGGACTACTAACAATCAATAAAATAAATATAATTCGGTGAAACATGTACAGAGACAATAATTTTCATTCACGAAGAGAAGTATTGAGAGTAAAGTCAAGTGTCTTTGAAAATCATGAGTCAGGTAAGCATAAGCTTATTTATGTTTTAAGCCGGCTTCCCGGTGTTTGCTCTTTTTCAAGATGAACTCGAGGCAAGAAAATCGCTCAGGGCTTTCTTTTTACAGTCAAAATCATAAGTAAATAATCTTCGGAACATTTTCTTTGAATTTGAGGTCAAAAAATGTCTAAAGGCTTTTTAAACCTGATACTATTGTAGGTTAGATCATTGCTCGTATATAAACTTAAGCCGCATAAACCATACGCTCGACTTCAGGAAACCGAAAAAAAAAAAACACATCAAAGACAACAATTTCTCAGGCTTACCAGTCGAGATGCTGCTTCTGAAGGTCATCAAGTGTTCCAGAATTTTCAACCCTCTTACGCCTCAAGCAAGGGCAAGTGAGTAGGCTCATTTTTGAAAACGATGCCATCCGAAATCGGATTTCCAATATAATGACTTTGACAAGCGGTGCATTTGTCAACAAAGAGCGCAATAAAAAAACCAGCCATGAATTACACAACAATCTTGATAGCAGCTGTATTTCATTTTGTAAACCAAGTAGAAACAGCCAGTTTAAAACATCACAAGATGACACAAAACTCTGTAAGCTCCAGCTATCAGTAAGCAAGTTTCCAGACGCTGCATAAATTTTCCGCATGAACTCACCTGTCAAATTTTGACCAATCAGAACATAAAAATTGAACGTAGAGCGTGATCAACGCGTGACAGTGAGAAAAGTCAAAAGTGATTGCCTTCCCCGCATGTAAATGTAAAAGCCGGTTGAATTTTCGCGTCCGAGGTCAGTTCGAAATCAACATTTTAAAAGTGCGGCTCATGAACTCGACTTATTTCATATGCTTTTAAAAAAAATTGAACTTGAGCCTGCGATAATTGAAAAGTAGCAACCTGTCAGCGGATACGTTAAAAAACACTCGAACTCAGTGGGTCGATACCTGAGCCCGCGATAGGGTCAGGCGATACTGGTCAGCAGTAACACTATTTTGAATGCTGTCAATGAATCAAAACATGGATGTACAATATCAGGTTGCAGGCTCCCAAACTAGCTAGAAAGTGTGAGATTAAACATTGGTATACCTGTGGTGCGGACGGACGGAAGGTCGGGTGGTCGGTGTACGGTCACGTGATTGCCGAATTTTCTAAGATGGATCGATTTTCTAAGCTATGGGACTTCGAATTGAGCCCGTGATCAAATAAAATATCAGCGCAAAACTTTAAACACCAGGTGACCTCAATGGATAGGCTAATGAGCTCGCGATACACTCAGATGATGATGGTCAGCGTATACTCTAGTTTGACAGCTGTCAATTAACCTTCATTACGATGGCGAATATTCGAATTAACAGACTACGAGTGTGAGTAAGATATCTCCGTCCGGCATATAGTGGAAAATGCCAGATCGTGTACCTGAGCGAACCTGAGCCCACGTTATTAGTTTTTTAATAGTGGTCTGCACATGTCCCATTTTGACAGCTGTCAATTGACCTTAATTTGGCTTGCCAATATATCTTTAAACGACTGTCAGCCAACTGACAGCCTTGCCCGGCGTAGTTTTGTTTTTATGTTGAATTTGTAAGTGTGACATATTATATCCGCTTATATGTAGGGGCAAAACGACTGGTCTTTCATCTGAGTCCGCGAGATAGTCATGTGATAATTGTCAGCGGATGCCTAATTTTGACAGCTGTCAATCTAATCGTACTCATACGGATGGCTTACATAACTAAGAGGCGAGTCAAGTTGTGCAAGATCCTTCGTGACATTTGACATCGGCTTACATGAAGCGTGTGTACGGGTGGGCGGGCGTACGCTATGTCATAACCAAATTTTCTCAGATGGATAGTTTACCAAATTTTCTTACCCATGGTGCTCCGCTCTGCGCGCGCTTCGCGCGCGCGAGGAGCTCCGCTATTAACGCAAACTGCTCCAATACTCGTGGATCTTATTACTGCACTTGCAAGGCAGGATTTACAGGCGATGGAAAAACTTGCCAAGGTAAGTAAGATAGTAAAGCTAATTTGAACAGTCTCGTTCAGTTTAGTTCAGTTTATTTCCAGTTATAGACTTTACAATTGATAATAACAATTGATACCAATTAAACAAAATACAAAAGATTTAGTAGTACGGGCAAGTTTTGAAAGAAGTAAGTTTAGGGAGAATTCGGTAGTGCTAAGACTGGATATTTCCATTAAGTGGTTTTTTAATTAAAGTTGTTTTTGTTAGACATTGACGAATGCAATGCTTCTTCTCCTGTATGTGACATCAACGCTACCTGCTCTAATACTCGTGGATCGTATCACTGCACCTGTAAGGTAGGATACACAGGCGATGGAAAAACTTGCCAAGGTAGGAGAAAATACTTATTAAGCTAATTTGAAGGAAAGTTAGTTTACTGCAGCTGTACCATCAGAGATGGGGCAGCTCCTAGAGACGTGTGATCATGTAACGCTATTCAGACTGGGCTTTTCTGGTCAATCTGTGACTTGGTTGGGGGGGCTCCTCGGACCCCCCTCTGTATCTCTGGAACCACTAATGCTAGGGTCATGAAATTTACACACAATGATCATCTCCGTACAAAGAAGCCCCACACCTAGTTTTGACTTGCCACGCCCAATGATGACGCCACAGTGACGTCATATTCCGATTTTTCAATGTTTCTTATTATTTTTCCACTTAGATACGTAAAATATCAATAATATTGGTAAAGTCATCTCTTTGTTATCCTTTCTTATGCACTAGTAACAAGGAAACACTTGTACAGCGAGAAAAAGCAATAGGAAGCAATAAAATTTAAAATTTGAAATGGTTGTCCACCATCTTGGATCCGTTATCTTGGATTTCCGTTTTTTTGTTAAAATAAAAATTTAAAGCAACTTTCAAATGGGAAAAAGCTCAGAATGTTTAAAAGAAGTATCAAACTAATGTTTATTACCCAAACAAATCACTTTGGAAGTGTTATTTGGAAAATAGAGCAGCATATTTGTCAAAGCAAAAAAGTGACAAATTTTACCCCACCCCTCCCCCCCAAATATTCGATGTTGAAACATTTTGATGTAATTCAAAAACTAGTCTCAAGAAAAGACCATTTTAACAACAAAAAGCACTATAAGTGTAAAAACGCGATCTTAAAACAAAAGAAATCACCATTTTTTAAATTTTCCAAAACCTATGTGTCAGAAACTGGTTGCCATGGCAACACGATTAATCACATGGACATGGTAATTATACCAAAATGTTGCTAGATACATTTTAGGAAAAGTCAGAAAATTTGATCGTCATAGCTCTTTCGGTGTAGGAGTTATCACGATTTTGCCGGAGGGGGGGTTCGAAAAGCCCCAGTCTGAATAGGGCTAAGATGGCGGCTAATCTGGTGACGTGCTGACCTGGAGCACAAATTTCTTAAATTTCATTCTTAATTTCATCGACACATTACCACCAGTATTTGTGACTATTTTACCTGATAAACTGCTCCTGAGTAAAACTACCGCTGTGAAAATACTGTACAAGTAAAATAGGGCCTATTATGCACTGCAACGTCCTTGGTAGCGTGGACTTGGATTATAAAACGTCTTGAGAAGGATCTTTCCTCAAACCCTTTTCTTATACAGATGTGAACGAGTGTCAAACAGGATCAAACTCTTGCCATGCTCAGGGTCAGTGTGTTAATGTTCCTGGCTCCTACTCTTGCAAATGTTTACCAGGCTACACGGGCGACGGAAAAAGCAAATGTGAAGGTATATATTTCCACTTGGGAAAAGTTTTCATCTTTGCCGGCTAAAAAACCACGAAAATTCGAAACCGCAACCGGAAAAGAAAACTTTGAGTCAAATCGAGGAGGGTCGCACTAGTATTTACTAGTGGGAGTTAATTGTCGTTGTTTTGACACATTGAGAACTAAAGTAGGCCAGATACCAGAGAACATTATCTCTTCGTAGTCCGATCATTTGGCGTAGGATCGTTTTCCTCCTTTCCCAGTTTCAGGAGGATGGGAGAAATAAAGAAAATAAAGTGCTTGGCTGCAAAGACTGCATTTAGCTCGGAGAATAACAAACCTGTGACGGTGCCTGGGTAGACTATAATTGGCTCGTCTGTAGAGAGTTCTCGTAAAAACGTTGAAATAGCGAAGGATTACAAGCTACAAATTGGTCACGTTTCGCTGACAAGTGCTGACACTTACCGCCGTGATTCCTATTGTTTAGCTCGAGTTTTCCAAAATCTGCCTGCCCCACCCAAGCAATACGGCGTCTTTGATGTTTTTTGCGATTTTCAAAGTTTTTTCCAACTTGAAAACTTGGGGTCGCACTTGGCAATGTGTCCCGATGACAGATGACAAGTGCGACCCATGCCTAAGGTATTAAGTGTCTTTTATTGAAAATTCCAGCTATTGTTTATTTTCTTGAATCTATTACCGATTTCCCATACAATCCTTCATGTTTATGGCTATTTTGGGGATTAAGCAATATGATACGAGACGTATGACGTTGTAGCCTGCGTAGCAAGCGTTTGAAAGTGGGTGCAAGAAGCAGGCTATCTGAGCTTGGGCTGCCTGTGGTCATCCGGGTCACGTAAACTCAAAGTAAATATATCACGTGATGAGATAACTTGTTTGAACGTGAATTAAATGTGATTTAAAAATCAAATTTGCTTTCGCCTTACACTTTTGTGACAGTTCCTACAATGACGGCGACAAGCTCCTGCTCTAATCTTCTTACGCGTGACGCCAGCAAAGCAAGTGGTACGATTTACTCAACTGGTAGCTCTAGCTCGACATACGGTAGTAATATGGATTGCCGATGGAATCTAACTTCGAATGCAGTGATTGAACTTTTGTTCTACGATTTCGCCACCGAATCGTCGGCAGACTATGTAAGTGTGTACGATGGTGACTCGACCTCTGCACCTCTGATTGGCCGATTTAGTGGAAGCTCCGTCCCTCCACCTATCACAAGTTCGTCCACCAAGCTATATATGTGGTTTACGTCTGATGGCTCTTCAGAGTATAGAGGATTTAACGCGCGTTACCGTGGTATTTTTATTCGTATTGAAGATGAATAGAAAAAGCGCTGTGATCTTTACTAGCGGGCTCCCTGGTTGGCATGACAAGAACTTCCCAGGCTTACTCATGAAAAAGTAACAATAATCTAAGAATATTTAGTTTCGGTTCAACCTTGTGTGCGAAATTAGACTTTGACTGTATATCTAGGTGGAGTTTGAAAACGTTAGCCAAGAAACTATCTCCAAAGTAGCCAATATAAAAGCTAGGTGCTTTTTTCTCTTTTCCTCCTTTCTTTCTCCTCGCTCTTGCTATTCTCAAGTAGATTAAAGCCTAGGTCTAATTGGCTTACGTTTGGAAAATGATTAATTGGCTGTTACTTCGGCACAGAGGATGGAGGGCAATCAAAATTTGGCGCACATAAAAAAGAACCTCATCGTCCTTAACATAAAGTATAAATGTTGTTTTAATAAGTCACGTGATATGTCACGTGACTATTTTTTTTTCTAACTAGTAACGGGTTTTTTCTCACTCTTACTAAATATTTCTAACACTCAAAGTCAAAGATTATTGAGAGATTTTGCAAAGTATTCAAACGTATTCCGCAAAATAGCAAGAAGCTAATCTAGGCAGTCTTACACAATTAACAAAACCCAACCTCGTCCCCAGGGCTTTTCCCTTAAAAAATGGGTGGGGCGGGAAAAGGCCCTGGCATCGGCTGGTCACGTGCACAGACTAACTATTCATGAGAAGCTAATTTATATGCAACCCGCTGGTTTTGCGCTGACAGAAGTCGAACGGAGCAACAATGGAAAATAATAATATCGCGAACTGCATGTCAATATTTTCGCGTCTGTGCGATTCAAAAGCTTAAGATCCATTTAATTGCGTTCTATTCATTAGATCAAATGCTACAAGTTTATGAAAGGGCGTACCGGCTCTACGTTGTCACGTACAAAATATGTCAAATGCTTCAGAGTTGAGACAAGCTGTTATCGAGTAGTCCTTCGACTGAAACTCATCGTGACTGTGGAATTACTGTACGATCAAGCAGAAAGTGATTGCGGGCCTTTGCCTCTAGGATCTGTAGTGAATTTAAACAAATTGAACTTAATTGAAATAGAATTGTTCATCAAAATGCTTTATGGAGTCTGGTCTTCTCTACAACCCGACCATGAAACAAACAAATCTCCGCGCCGGATGCAAGTCAGCTCTCCAGCCAGGAACGATGACAAGTCGCCGATCTGAAACATTTTAAGATCTCTTATATCTTTTCTCTTCCGAGGATAAGTACAAAGGATTTTCCTTATGTCAAAGGGAAAATTGACCGATCGATTGGAATCAACTACAGCTCTGTCAATTTTAAATGGACCCAAGTCCTTCTTTGTTACCAGGCGTTTGATACCCTGAGTGCCAGAAACTTTTCATGCGCGGTTTCCGGTTTCGGTCAAGTCTCGCAGAGGTCAATGAATTTTTTAAAAATACGGGTCATACTAGATAAGTCTAAACCAACGCGTGTCGCTATGATATGGCTGAGAGTCAAGGTAAATAGAACTAGGTTGTGTACGGCGGTCCACTTCGCAAGAAATAAATAAAATATCTAAAGAGTCGCGAAAACGGACTTTCCTACGCCAGTACAAATTTTATGCATGTACGATAGCTTGTTTGTCATTTATATCGCTCTATAAAGGAAGTTTTACAAATGTTACCGCTCGCTGTCTCCTTCATAGAAATCGGAGGAAAGCAAAAAATTACCATAGCCAGTATCTGTGACAAAAAAGAAATCTTGCAAACTTTTCGTTGCTCGTCAAGAGATATAAAAGGCCGCCCAAGATCGCGCGCTGTGAGGTTACGCATAATTTTAGCTTTTCACATAGCGCTAATTTATTACACCCAGGATTTTAGGGTGTACGAGTGGACACGTGACCAGCCTTTTCCCGCCCCACCCATTTTTTAAGGGAAAAGCCCTGGGGACGAGGTTGAACAAAACCATAGATAAGCGGGTAGTATGAATGTATATGCGAATAATTATAGATCATCGATGTTAAGGACTGAAAGGAAGAAAGTGGGTCAATAAAGCTGCTTTGGACATACATTTTGAAACTTATTTATACGGGTGGGTATGCCAACATAATTATCCTCTTCCTTCACGTTTGGAATGATTGTCCATAACAAAAAAAATTATGAGGGAATGTATCTTATTATATAAACACCAATGAAATAGAAATACAATTTCTCTACTGGTGTTGAAAAACATTTCACTCGTTCGCTGTGCTCACTCGTTAAATATATTTCTACCCACGAAGAGAAATTTCGTATCTCCTCGCGGCCATGTAGTATCCTCTATATTTTAAATGCTCAAAATTAATCTTTAATTCTTAGTTTTGTGAAAAAAAAAAATTCATTTTTTTCTAGGTATCCTAGCGAGAGATATTCCAATCAATCGAAAACATCTTTGACCCAGAGTGAGAAAACTTTGAGTTTTTCCTTTCCTTCCCCTTCGTTAGTGTGATATTCGGCCTTATCGGACGATTTTTGGTCCTTTTCCTGTCAACTGATTGCAAATCTTGCTATGTTCGTGTCGACCTGAGCGACAAAATTCCCCCCCATCTTTGACCCCACGAGAACGGAATTTTAGAAAGTGTTCATTATAACAAATACGATGTAAAATTTTAAACTCACTTTACCTCTTATTTAAACGCTAGCTGTGACATCCGGTTCAGTTCGTCTCAGGGGTGGCACCCCATCGACGGGAAGAGTTGAACTCTTCTATGATGGTCAGTGGGGAACAGTCTGCGATGATGCTTGGGACATAAATGACGCTAACGTGGTCTGCAGACAGCTGGGTTTCCCGCGGTTAGCTACTAACGCTTGGAGCGGCGCCCATTATGGTCAGGGCTCTGGTCCCATATGGATAGATGACGTGGCCTGCTCTGGTAGCGAATCACATATCTACGATTGCAGACACCGTGGATGGGGAAACAATGACTGTACACACAGCAGAGATGCCAGTCTGCGGTGTTCTTATGATTCTGCTAACATTCGTTTGGTGGATGGCGATGTTAATTATGGCCGAGTTGAAGTTTATCACAACGGCCGATGGGGCACAGTGTGTGATGATTACTGGAATATCAATGACGCTAGTGTGGTTTGCCGTCAGCTTGGTTTCCCCAGTGCGTCTTCGGCACCTCGTAATGCACGGTATGGCCAAGGATCTGGCACTATCTGGATGGATGACGTCCATTGCAGTGGAACAGAGACTTCATTGTTTCACTGCACACATGCTGGCTGGGGAAGAAACTGCTGCTGTCGCCATAGCGAGGATGCAAGCGTGGTCTGTAACACTTAAATGACCTGTTTGCACATGCGGCCATGCTTAATTTGGATTCATAGAAATTGGTATTCAAATGTGTATCATGCCTATTATGTTAACGCCGATTCTAAAAAGCACTTGCATGTGACAAGAACTTAGAGGAATTATAACAAACGCAGTTGTATTTTTAAATTAGTAAAATTCCCAGCCTTATGAGACTATTTTGCGAAGCCCGAAGGGAGCTATGTCACGAGGATTTTGCTGTTTTAATTTCAATTCTGTGGCGTAAGTCATTAATTAGTGCCTTTACACGTGCAAAGTGATAACTGTAGAATTGTGAAGAAGATATTAAACAAATTTTGACAAGGAGCACAGCTGATCCATAATAACTTTTAATGGTGATTTTTGCAGGCATAGCATTAAATTTGAAATAATTGTCTATACTAATCATCATCCTTATTAATAGCACAGGAAGATATATATAATGACTTTTAATATTAAAAATATCTATAGTAGCTCTACGTGTACTTGTATTCATTGGTGAATATCACTTTCCTATTTATATCATTAATCCCAACGTAACGTTGCTTCCTAAAGAGGCGGCCACACCAATTAATTCCTTTTTGTTTGAAAACGTCCTAACTAAAAAGGATGAAAAACAGAAGTTAATTATAATTTAAGAGAACGGAGGTTTTATAAACTAGTTTTCGAACTGGAAGCTTTCACAGGTAGAGGAGGTCTATCGTTTACGCGAGGGCGGGCAAGTGGTTAAGAGATTTTCTTTGTTGACCATATCGTTTATGTAATTTCCAAGGCAACCGAACTTGGAGCATGAGAATTAGCTGCGCCGCTAAGAAAGCTCTACAACTCGTGCATCTCTAACGGAAAATGGCCGTGTGAATGGAAGAAAGGAGTATGGTCACCCGTCTTTAAGAAAGACGATCCGCTAGACTACAGGCCAATTACTGTAAATCCTCTATTAAGTCCCCCGGGGGGCTTATTTCTTTCAAGCACTTTTGAGGGGGGAGGCTTAATAGAGAGGGGAGGCTTAAAAGAGAAGGGGGGAGCTTATTTAATTTAGCGAAACGCATCACCTGTAGCAAGAATACCGTGGTATGAGACAGAGTAGACTTACGCGTTGTACAATTGAAGTCACTGTCAAAAGTATTTACTTCACTTGTGGGAGCCTAAAGGTAACAAAAACAAAATTCTTATTCTTCAAAAATGTGCTTTCGGCCTCATGTTCTTAGGTAATTTTTATGAGAATGGTTTACTTGTATTGATTTGTCGTATACAACTTACAAACGAAAATCTCTGGAAAACTCCTCTTATATTTACATTTTTAAATGGTGACAATCATTCCACAGAGAACTAGGCTCAAAGTTGAGAAAGTTAAGCATATGAAGTTGGAGGTCATGCGGCCGAAGACTAAAAACAATATGAACTTCCAGCCTGAATAAACCATAACTGAACTGATCAGTCCACGTTAACCGTTAATTTTTTTGTGAAGAATAAGGATTAGGGGGGGGGGGGGGGGGGGAGGAGCTAGCTTAATCATCATCATCATCATCATCATCATCATCAATCTTTATTTATACACGTAATCGTATCATTTTACATGGTCTTCCTAGGAATCGTGTTTAAAACTAGACTAAAATACTCTAAGGAACTATTGACTATAATGTTAAAAATACAAAAACTTACATTATGAATAATAAGAGTTACAATGGGTCATGGTGTATAAGAAAAATCTTTCCCATTAATTGAAGTTTTAAAAACATTTAAACTAGTCAGTATTCTAATCTCTGAGGGAATCTTGTTCCACAGAACAGATCCTCTGTAGTGTAGGCTCCCTTTTGCAGACTCAGTTCTGGGTCTGGGGACATAATAATTTAACTCAGAATTTCTAAGATTGTGTGAATGTACATTTGAGGTGTTGGTAAAGATCCGCCTCAGATACGATGGGGAAAGATTATTATGGATTTTAACAAAGTCACAGCCAACTGTTTAAGTCTTACATATTCCAGCTTTTCCCAGCCAAGCTCATCCAACAAAACACTTGAGCGAACGTCATAGTTAGAAAAGGTGAGAATTCTAGCAGCCCTATTCAGCAGCTTTTGAAGTTTGTCTGCTAGTCCCTTATTGATATTACCCCATACGGCACCACAGTAATTAAAATATGGCATTACCAGTGCATTGTACATATTCACTCTAGTATCAAATGGTATAAAATGACTTACACGCCTTAAGATAGCAATACCAGCGGATATTTTCGTTGAAATGGTATGAATGTGTGGGCGCCAGTTCAAAGATTCATCAATTTGAACTCCAAGGGATTTATGTTTAATTACTCTTTCTAAGGGTGTATTATTGACTTTGAAGGTGGGGTATGTGGTGGGGATTTGACATTTTTCATTTTTCCGGATGCACATTGCTGTCAAATATCCCAAGGCTGAACCCAAGAAATGCACAATAAAAATATCTCCAGATAAATTAAAACTCCACAATCTTTATTCATAACCGTTGCTGCATCACCAAAGATACATGTTATAGCACTGCTGCAGTTATACGTTTTAACCATTCACCCCGTGTTACACTGCGCAGAATACAGCAACCTTTAGGAGAAAGTCCATATTTTGTAAGTTTGGATATACCGTTCTTAGTAAAGGGTACAACGAAAGTCAGTATTTTAAGCTTTGCAAAGTGATTATAGCGAATGAGCCATAACTGATAATGAGAGGAATGATCTTATGTTGCCAACCCGGGGTTGGCAATGCGTGAGCGGGCAGAATAACTGACGCTGATTTTGGCGAGCTAGTAGTTAGGCTGAAACCTAAATCGTTGTCCTGGATAGAGACTGTTAGAGACTGAGGATGATTTCCTGCCTTGTATTCCATTTTGGAAAAAGGAAGTAATGATGATCATGAATGTGTTGAATATTTCATACTTAGGCTTTTGGATGTCATCAGTGTTTTTTAAAATTGCAAGATTACTTTTTCTTTTGCAATCTTAACCCAGTGATCAGCAGTGATTACTTTATGAGTGATAAATTTTATTGAATGACATCATTATGCGATCACTGTTTCTCTGACGCAATAGATATTCTGGGAAATGTTGTCTGAAGTTTGAATAAAAGGTAATTCAGAAAATCTAAGATAGTGTAACATTGCAATATCAAAGTCAATAAGCCATATAAGTTTTCCCTCTCAGCAGGAACCCTGCTATTTACTAAGAAACCTCTGGGGTGGGGGTCTGATTTGATATCAAGAAGTTTACTTTCCAGAGTTTAACGGAGTAATGCAGATTGCTGGCTGCCTCCTACTTATAACAATGATAATATATAATAATAAAAATGATAATAATTCGTTGCGAAAGGCCCTCGCGTAGCGAGTTTATAATTTTGTCGCGTGGATTAAGGCCACACTATCATGTTTTATACCTCCTGGAGGGTACTCCTGGGAATTCTTGGCGGGGGTGGTGTGCCGCCCGGTTCTTCAAATCCTGACCCGATTTCAGACCAAAAAATGTAATTATCCACACCCGTTTTCAAAATAGACCTCTAAAATCCATAACCGTTTTCAGACCTGGCCTATAGGCAGAAATTATGTTACCATTACTTAGATTAGGGTGCAAACAAAAAAATAATTCAAATCTATTTCGAATTCGCATATTTCTCTTTCTTTCTAACTCATTTGGAATTGAAACGATAAATACCTTCATATACTCCCGTAGTTCGCTCGAAAACCATACTCGCGATTCCAGACCAAATGGGTAAAGTGTATACCCGTTTTCAGACCAAACCGGCCGGCGCACCCGATGGGGCGGCACATACCTCAGTATGGCTCATATAAGGTAGTATCCCCACCCCCCGGGGGTTATACCCTGTTCCAGGTGTTCAAACTGTGGGGATGGCGCAAAAAAATGTGAGTAGGAAACTGGAACTGTCTAATTTTTTTAATTCATCGTACGTGAAACAATGTTTTTATAATATCGGTGAATCCGGAGTAATTTTCGTAAATGCAAATGACGTAGCCAGCAAACACAACAGCGCTGGATTCAACGAGAGGCTGTAAATCCTCAACGGGGACGATTTACCACCGAAACAACTCTGGAACGAGTCCACGCCGACTTGAAACTCAGCACGAGCAACGAAAAATAGGGAGTTTAAGGGCCTGTTTACATGGAGATGGGGGACCACAGGTAGGTGAGGTAACTCTCTTAGGTGGGGTAACCCTGAGCCGACGGCAACGAGAACCTCACAAAGCAATTGGTTAAGATTAGCAAAACAACAACTCTGCACGTGCATCACGCTTTTTTGTACATTTCTTTGCCGTCAACTGCACGACTACGACGAGAATTGCCTAATTTCACGTTTTATCGACAACGTGAACATACGACTACGAATCTCTCCTGCTCTTTTTAAACTTGGATATTTTTCGTAAGAATTCAACTCCAGGAGAGTTCGCCTACATGACATAGTGACCGAGTTAAGATAATCGCACTTAAGTTTCATAGACCGAGAAGTCACTTTTTAACCGACATTTTTGCCGCCGTCGCTGTCGTGGTATCTTAAACTCCCTAGGAAGACGACAGCAAGAAACCGCGTAGCAGGAAAAACATCGCCTTGCCCAGCGAACAGGAACACCCAACGAAGGTCTCCTCCTAATCCATTGAAAACACTTTTCAAGCTACCCAGAGTTTTTTTAGATCTCTAGAATGCATTCTAAGCGGCGCCATAAGATTTGTATCTGTTCGGTCATCCTAGAGGAACTTGAGTCTTTTCGAAAATACAGGGCTTCAGGATTTTTTTCCCGAAAATTTTAGATGCCATGAGGCTACAGGGACACATGAACAGACGCAGCAACAAAACCCCGCAATTACATCGCAAACAAAACCGATCTATGAAGAGAGGACATTGCCTAGCTCCCACGCAGACGTTCTTAAGGGGTTCGTGACGAACCCCTAAGAACGTCTGCGTGGGAGGCTAGACAACGTCGACTGCGGAACGCCGCGGAAAGCGAAGAGGATAGACAACA